GAAGGCAAGGAAAAAAACATATTTTGGGGACCCAAAGCTCATTCTGTGAGGTGTCCATTAGAGGAAATGTTCTTCCCCACTTCTCTACATTTCAATAAACAGCTGTTGCTGGTGTTAACTTGGCACCAGGTAATGATTCGCTGGTATTTGTGAAGGCAGTGATTCTGGTAAGATGACATCAGTTTCTATTAATTCAGATACTCCAGAGCATTTGTGCTTGTGGGTTGTGCAAGCCAGGTTCTTCTATTAAGTTTTGAATATTAGCCCTTTCTCCCACTGGAATCTCATGCCCTTACCCTGAATTTTAAGATCCATAGTAAAGTGAGGGAGAAAAGATTAGGGAAAAAGGAAAGGGCCTGGGAGTTTAAGTGTTTACCTTTTGAAATACCAAATGGAACCAAAGGAATCCAGTTAAACTGAGAAAATGTCCTCTCTTTTTTTTATTTACCTTTACTCTCCATTATCACCCCTCAAAGAAAAACAACTCTTTCTATATAGTTTTTCTAAGTTAGCATGCATGCAAATGGCATGCTTGTGAAATCAACCTGGGCCCCACCTGCCTCCCAAGCCAGTAAAGCCTGATGCCACACTGGCAGCACAGCTTGGAGAGCAGAGAGCAAGTGTGGCCTCATCTGGTTCGCTGACACCAGTATACACACCCCTTCAGATTCCCGAGGGAACCAATCAAAGACAGAAAATGTCAGAGTCAGCAACCTCTTGGTCTTTAGGGCCTTTGCTGGGCTCAGCAGTGTCCATGAGGGATGTCTACTGGGGTCAAAGGGATAGGCACAGGAGATTAAAAAAAAAAATATATATATATATATAGAGAGAGAGAAGGAAAATAATAAGTAATGTGATAGAAAGATGTGATAAAGAACAAAGCAAAAAAATACTATTGGGGTCAGAGAGATAGTGCAGAGGGTAAGGGGCTTGCTTTGCATGGGGCCAATCCCTTTCATCTCTGGCATTGACTGTGGTGCCCCAAGCATGGCCAGGGCATGTCCTGAGCACAGAGCAGAAATATCCCCTGAGCATCATCGGGTAAAGTCCATCCCTCCCATCCACCTCTCCACCCAAATTCCAAAATCAAATTCCCGAACCAAAATTGTATTATTGAAGTAGTGGGGGGCCAACAATAAAGGTGTCAGAGGGTTGCTTAGTGATTCCTTGGTTGTAATCATCAAGTTTTGTGAATGCTGGGACTAGTGCTGGAGAAGTGGCCAACACGGGCCTCTCGTGAGCTATTGACCCTGGGCAGAGCACTGGGTCTGCAGCTCATCTCGAATCTCATAACCTTGAAGATTATTTGACCTTTCTGTGGTGCTGTGTTCTGCTGTGAGAAGCTGCTAGGGGCGGTGTGCCTCCCTGGTAGGGTATGGAACATGCCATTGTTGTATGTATCAGTGCAGAGAATTCTAGGCATGAGAGCTAGAAGGAGAGACCATGAGAAGACGTTTGTGAGCAAGTATAGAGCAGGAACTTCCCAAATAAAAATGAGCTGGTGATGAAGAACAGGCAGTAGTAGGAACAGTGCATGCTGGGTCGCACAGCTAAGCATCAGGTGCCCTTCTCCTCCGCTATAGGGGTGGCATGAGACTTGGTTGCCCAGGCTATAGAGAGCATACGAGTCTGGTGCTTGGCGCCAGCATCATGCATCCTCTCTCCTTCCCTAGTCTTTAATGAAGTGTGCAGCTCTTGTCCTCATTAGGTCTCAGCATCGTCAATAAAAGAGTCAATAATCCTGCTGATGGGGTTGGGACTGAGGGGCTGGGATGCCACGGTTGCACATCCACAGGGCAGACGTCAGCTCCACTGGGTGTGTCATGACCCAGCATCCAGGGATCAATAACCAACTCGGAAGAAAGCCCCAAGTCTGCCCTCTGCAATCTCCTCTTCAGACCCGGGGCACCCAGGACAGAGCAGTGCCAGCCGGCTCCTGCTTGGCTTGCAGTTATTCCCACCCTGTGCCATTCTGGGTGCCAGATGCTTTGTTTCTTCCTTGAGTGAGTCCTCTGGACGCCCCATGGATGCATATTTAGTGAGTGCCCACCTGGCATGAGAACATGTCGACAGCATCTCCAGGCAGCTCAGAGGCTGGCGTGAGCTCTGTTCTCGATGTCATCTGTCTGCTGACAGTGTGTGAGGGGTCCCGGTGGATTAAGCAATATATTTTCTGCATGTTGTGTTGTAGGCTTCATTCCGAGCTGCTCTGCATCTCTTTAGATATCCTTATCTTATCTAATTACAAGGAATTTCAGATTAATTTCATGGCCTCTGCTCCAAAAGACCTCTTATCTAGGAGGGGCTTGTATTTTAACCTTGCCTTCTTTTGTTGTTTGCCTTTAAGGGGCAGCTAAGAAGGGGGATGCTAAAATCTTGCTGGAATTGGGGTTGGGGGAGGGGAAGAAGAGGAAGGCAGGCAGACCTGGCATTTGTGTATTCTGCGCCATCCCCCTGCCTGTATGCAGAGACAGCTGGCTGCTTACTTCCCTGACAGCCACATGGTACCCAGCCACACAGAACAGGACCCAGGCAGGGACTCGTCTGCTGCCAACCTCTCCAGATCCCTTTGATATTTCCGACAGAGCAGTAAAGGACTCTTGACTATCACATTTTGTCTTGCCTTTCTCCACCTCCTCTAAGACTCCTCTGTGTGGTTTCCATGGCTACCCCCAATCAGATTTGGCTTCCTGTGAAAATTGGATTTCAAAGAAGGACAAGGCTTCAAAGGAATTTGTCCATTTAACAGAATGTCATTAGGAGTGAGGCTGACTGCTGAACCAGGGTCCTCAGATGATTAAGGAGGGGCTGCGCTCATGTGTGGAGGCAGGTTTCTGTCTACAATGAGGAACCTTGATACAACATGACAATGCCGTATTGGAATCTGCCAGTCACCCTGCACACCCTACCCAACTCGGCACCTCCCTCTGCCCCCTCTCTGTAAAACCCAGAATGGATGGAGAATAGCTGTGCTGCATGTTGTGGCTGCTTCCCTGAGTATGAGTAAGCTATGACAGGTAGGAAGGCCTGCGAGGACAGTGTGATGACCTGAGTTTATTGCTCTTTATCAAACAACTCATTAGCTTGGAGCCTTTATTAGCATTTGACAAATATCCTTGAAGAAGCAAGAGACAAGGGAGAGGTTGTCAGACTCCCTTCTGTTGCTAGGCCAAAGCAAGTTGCTGGCATTACATCCAGGAAGAACTTTATTTCCCTGGTTCTTTTGAGGATCATTTGAGATTACAGAAGGATTTGGAGCTGGAGAGATAGTAACAGAGGGTAGAGCATTTACCTTGCACAAGGTTGATGGGCTTTGATCCCCAGCACTCCATGTAGTCCCCGAGCCCACCAGGAGTGATCTCTGAGCACAAAGATAGCAGTAAGCCCTGAGCACCACCAGGTACGCTCTGTTCCCCTCAGAAAAGTTTTCAGAGTGGTATGGTTTAAAAAAAATTAAAAGCCCTGGCATGTACCTGTGTAGAAGGCAGTTATTAGCTTTCCTGGGCAAGACAAGAGCAGCAGAAGCCTCAGTCCCCAGACTCCTGCCATCGTCCTCCCCCCAACCCCATCCAGTTTGCAAGAGGGTTCTGTGACTTTAAAACCAGGGCACCATCCTCTTCACTGAAGCTGCAAGAGGACTCGCCCTTTCCAACAGACCATGTCCCTAGGCTGCAGGGTAAACTAGGCCAGGAGGCAGGTGCAGCCACTGCACATTCTTTCTGACCAGCTCTCCACAGCCATTGGGGTTCCACCATTGTTTCCTCAAGGTGCCTTTAAACCCTTTGTGTGTCCTCTCTTATTACCCCAAACCTTCGCACACATTCTGAGCACAGAAACTCCCTTTGCTCAAAGAAGGAAAAAGGGTTAGATGTGCAATGAGGTGAGGTCCAGGTAAGGTAACCTGCACTCTAGGGACTCAGCACGCAAAACTGGCCAATGGCTCCCCACAGTGCACCTGGTGGAGTTGATAAATCCCTGCTCTGTCAGGCAGCCCCTGCCTGTCAGAGCTCCAGTCTTAAGAGAGTTTCTGTTTTCCCTGACAACTGTCATTTCTCTACTCCCTCCAGAAAAAGGCGGTCCTGCGGTCCTGCGTAGTTCTTCCAGCAGAAGGCTTCCACATCTTTGTTTACTCTGGTCCTTCCACCTGGAAACTGCTCTGCCCCTTCCAAGTCTGGCATGCACCCAGCCGGTCTCAGATGCCACATGCTCCATTAAGCACACACAGACCCCAATGTTCCCTCCTTCCCCGAGAGCCAGGGCCACCTTTGTGTGAACATTGTGTACAATAGCCAGGTGTACCTTGGGCTTATTTTACTTTTAAAAGAGATCAACATTGGAAAGGGGGTAGGTTGTGTATGTGGAGACACTAGTGGAGGGTGTGGTGTTGGAATATTGTATTCATGAAACCTCAGCATTAACTAAAGTAAATCAGGGTGCCTAAAAAAAAATTAACATTGTTTGATGTTATTGTAGCTGTGCAGATGTTGGGTAAATAAAACAGCAATCCTGTCTGCCCTCATCACGATGGTTGGTGGTGGTGATGGTGGTGGTGGTGGTGGGGTACTTTGAATGGAAGCGTCTGAATGGCACTTTGAGGGGGCGGGGCGGGGGAAACTTCCTCTGACCTTGTCCTTCACTTTGCCCTCTGTCAGCTCTTGCAGGAGAAGAACTGCACCCCCCCTACCCTCCCCTTGCTCCCCCCCTTATCAGGGCCCAAGGGACAATTTGGCTGCACGTGTCCGAGCAGCTGTGCAGCAGACTCCCCCCAATACTGGAGGTTTTCATTATTTACAGGGTGTGAGTGTCACTAAAGCGAACGTTTTGTGGGTGCGGGGAGAAGATGCGGGGCTTCCGCCGGCCGACGCTCCGACCCCCGGCGCAGTGAGGTGTCAGGCTCGGTCGTGCCCCCCGGGAGGGGGTGTCTCGCGCCCGCGCCCAGGTGTGCCCCCACGCGCCCGGGGCGCGCCCCCGCCCGCCGCGCGCCACTTCCTGAGCGCGCCCCCGGCCCCGCCCCGCGGCTCGGCCCGCGGCGGCGACTGAGGTGCAGGTGTCCCCCGCGGCTCCCCGCGCCCCGCCGGCGACATGCAGGCCGCCGCGCTCCCTGAGGAGATCCGCTGGCTCCTGCAAGGTAACGCCCCGGCCCCCGCCCCGGCGCCCCGGCAGCCCCGAGGGCGAGCGGCCGGCGGGGAGACGCGCGCTGACCCGCGCGGCCACACGAGAACCTCGCGGCTTCGAGCATCCGCGCGGCCCGCCGGGTTCCCGCCGCCCGCCCGCCGCGCGCACCTCAGACCACGTCGGCCTCTTCCGCGGGGCTCAGGGGGACCCCTCGCCGCCCCAGGCCGCCCTCGGGGTCTGCACCCAGCGCCTTTCTCCTTAGGAGACCCTCCCACCCTCCTCCCGGCCCCGGGCACCTCTCACAGAAGCCCCTCAGGAGGCTTCCTACTGAGGGGGACAGAGGCTGTCAGGGGCGCGTGCAGGTCACCGCGAGTTTGTGGCCCCCACAAGCCTGTCAGACTTTGGAAGTCTTGGAGCCTCCCCCAAGGCCGATGGGTTGCACTCGGTGTTGCACACTTTTCTAGAAAAGTCCCTGGAGGTGGATTCCCCTTCAGATTAGCACCGGAGAGGAGCTATCCTTGGGGGGCTCTAGGGGGCCTGAATTGCAGCCCATCCTTCCAACTCCTCAGACCGGTTTGACTGGGGGCGCGGAGGTTGGGGGGCGCTGCTCCCTTCCCACTTTTTCTGCCAAAAGCCACTTGATTTCCTGCAACTAAAGTTCTTGGAGGCCTGGAATCTGAGCTTTCACAAGGATCTCAGGAGGAAGGGGCTGTCTTGGAATTAAACTTTTTTGGCATCCAAGTGACATTTTTGACACATATTTAACAGATGGCCTGCTTTGGGCAGGTCATGCTTTTGGCACTCTGTATCTCACCCTCCCCTCTTTCTCTCGATTTAATTGGTTTTATATCTGCATTACCTTGTTATCTTGGTATAAATGTCTCCTAATCAAATAGTTGGCAGGTCATTTTAGGCTGTTTATAGCACTGTTTCCATTCTGGACTGTGAAAGTTGTCAACTAGGTATTTCTTTTGAAGGGAAGTTTCCAAAAATCCATTTCAATTATGACCTGAGGAAATCTCTACTTTGAGAATTAAAAAAAAAAAGTGTTTGTAAAAGAGCATTACCTGGACATCTCCAAAGAAGTAACCTATCATTTTCTTTTCTTCAGTCACTCTAGTTTCCACCCAGCATTTCAGTTAAATTCTTGAACTTGCTTTATTTCTGAAACCACACCCAGGGTGCTCACTGGTACTGCTTAGGACACCATATGCAGTGACAGGGATCAAACCAGGCTCAACTGCTTGCAAGACATGTGCCTCTAGCCTTGTACTACCTCTTTGGCCATCAGTTCAATCAAGTTTGTTATGTAGAGAAGGCTGGGTCTGACTCCAGGTGGAAGAAACTTGAAAAAAGTTTAATTCTGCCTTTGCATTTAAAAATGGACCCAATTCTTTTCATTGGTGTCTGCCATTTGATGAGAGGAAACCTCATTTACAAGCTTGTTAAGCTGTACTTCCGTTTTGTGAGTGGCCGTGGTAGAATTCGCCTTTTTCTGTTCAGAGGCCTATAGTGCATTCCACTCCATCAACATTTTTTGATGTGCAGTTCTTTTTGGTTCAAAACTGACAGTTTGGTAAACAACTCATTTCTGCACCTGCCACCTTCTTTTAGCTTAGATTATTTTCTTGTTAGCTGACTGTTTTTAATTGAAGTCTTCAGATCTCCTTCTAAAGCAGAACCTTTGTTTGCTGACAAGCAGAGCAGGGTTTGAATGGAGATTAATTGCATGTCACATACTTCTGTATCAAACTTGCTGTGTCTTAACAATCTCTGTTGGTGCTTAGGTCTTTAGACTATACGGAGGAGTCCGAGATTACATTTTAAGGAGCTTCATTGGTTAGTGCTTTCTTAAGATCTTAAAAAAAAAGTTTGCAGTTAGACTCTGAATCTGAAGTAAAGTGGGATTCAACAGACTGAAAACTGTGAGAAGAATATATTTTGGAAAGGTGCATGTAATCATAGCAACATATTGGCTATAGATTTTAAACTCTATGAAACAGTCTCTGGGGTATACCAGCAGAATTATTAATTGTACTACATAGAATTTGTGGACATTAGAGATTCATAATGGTGATCAGTTTATCGTCTGTTATTATTTATTTGTCTTACCTCCCTGCCCCCTACCTCCTGCCCCCTTTACGGTTAACTGTTGGCTATTAGAAAATATTAAAGTCCAGCTTTGTATATTGTCACTCAGTGGAGGGAGTAACAGGGTGTGAGAGCTACCACTATAATGCTGCCACATGGCCGTGGGGGTAGAGTTTCTACAATGAATTACTACTTTCATAAACCACGGCATAAGATTTGCACAGTGATTTAATGCTGGCCATCACAGCCATAATTTAAGCATTTATTTATTTATAACTACATGAGCTTAAACGACAGTGTTTTTTTACATAATATGTGTGCTTTTAAAAATAAAATATGCTAAACATTGTGAATGGTTTATGCCAAAATTTTGTGAAATGAAAAGGGAACAGAAATTCTGAAGATCCCCAAATTAATTTTATCTAGGAATAAAGCTTTAAACATTTTGAAAATGTTTCATTTGACCCAGAAACCCAACTTCTTTGAAAATCTGTTACTGAAATGACACAAAGTATATGTAACAAATATCCATTCTATTTTTCCATGACCTGGGAGAGGCAGAACAATGGTTCAATGGATTATGAATGAAGCTCCATGTTTAAACATCTGCTATTGAAATAAAAGGACATAAAATATACATATACAAGGACCCATCCTAAATGTTCATGAGTTGGGAAAGGTGTGGTGATGGTATAATTAAATTATTTGTATCATGAAATATTTGGACTGGAGCGATAGCACAGGGGGTAGGGAGTTTGCCTTGCACGCAGCCAACACGGGTTCTATTCCTCTGTCCCTCTCAGAGAGCCCAGCAAGCTACCTAGAGTATCCCATCTGCACGGCAGAGCCTGGCAAACTACCCGTGGTGTATTCGATATGCCAAAAACAGTAACAGTAAGTCTCACAATTTGTTGTGAGACATTATTGGTGCCCGCTCGAGCAAATCAATGAACAATGGGAGGACAGTGCTGCAGTGCTATGAAATATTTAGCGGTCCTTAAAAAGGAAATGCTGGATCTGTATATGTTGGCCTAGAAAGTATCCTAACATTTTTAAGAGTGAAAAGGAAATTGCACATTAGTATGTATAATGTCCTCTTTTGAGGTTTAAAAACAAAGAGCTGGACCAAATGTGGAGCACCTGTCACGTTCGCACAAGGTCCCAAGTTCAGTTAACTGCAGAACCCTCCTACACCACCTATCCTCAGCCTCTGACTATCAGACCTGAACCACAGGTTGAGTATTACCAGAAGTGGGTTCCAGGCCCTCAGGCACAGCTGGGGAAGCCCTCTAAAAATAAACAAAAAAATCTTCCAAGAACCAAAATTACTCCCTTCCCCCCCTCCCCGCCCTATATATGTATGTTTATGTAAGCCTGGAAGAAGAAAGAATATACATCAAACTGTAAACTGTTAACATTAATTGGTTGGGGAGTTAATGAAAGGGGGAGGGGAGGCTATTTGTTTTATTTCATGCATTTTTATACTGTTAAAATTATGACAAACATCAGATATTTTGTTTCTAATTGGTGACCAGAGAAGTAACTTAAACAAAGGCAAATGTTTTTCTGTATTTTGGGTATGGGGATGTATTGAATATGCAACTTTTTCAAATGCTTTATTTGATTTTTGGAAAATATTAGCGGCTTGGCGAGTAAATCAGGAAACAGCTTCTTTAGATAGAACTTGTCAAGCTCTCATATAGGAATAGTAAGTAGTTCATATCAGCAAGTAAGAACCTTATAGATAAGTGAAATGAAGGGTGTCTACTGCTTTATTGAAAGCAGAGGAAATATTCAGGTCTGTTTTCACATAATCAAGCTTCAGACATAGAATTTATCTTTTTGTTTTTGTTTTATGATAACCATGCTGAAAACAAAAACAAAGGCATTCTGGCAGTTTGCATAATCTTTGTTCCACAGATATGAACACTATCACTTTCTTCCTTGTCTTTCTAGCTCTGCTTTTGAAGTCCTAAGGACATCGGGCAAATGTGAGGAGCTAGAATAAATATTTCCTTCGTTCATAGTGTGTCTTGTGTAGTGGAATGGGACCTAATGGTTTTACCTCAGTAGTTTTAAGTCCCAACTACCTATGAGGTACCTAAAACCTGCTCAGAATATGGATTAAATCCAAAACAGCCTTTACAACCCAACTGCATTTAATAGAAATTGCTGCATTAAAACTGATTCTGATATGAGTATGGTTACTTACTTTGAAGCTTCCTTAGAAAGTAGCAGTCATTAATCATTTCCTTTCAGATTGTTCTCAGATTTGTATTGGTTGGTACAGTCAACCATAAAATCTTTTTGAATATAGTAAAATGCCAACTGTACGGAATTTACAGGAATGTGTTGCTCTGAATAGCTAAGGATATTCTCTAGGTACTCTTTTTTTTTATTAGTGAAACACCATAAAGTTAGTTGTAGACTTACAAATTTTTGTGCTTGGGTTTCAGTTATACAATTATTGAGTACCTATCCCTCCACCAGTGCCCATTCCCCACCTCCAATGCTCCCAGCATCCCTCCCACCCCCCACACCCCCCATCCCACCCCACCCCTGTGGCAGGGCATTCCCTTTTGTTCTTTCTCTCCTTTTGGGTGCTGTGGTTTGCAAAAGAGGCATTGAATGGCATTCATGTTCGGTCTATATTCTACTTTCAGGATGCATCTTTCATCCTGGGAGGATCCTCCCAACACCCTTTACTTGGTGCTCCCCTCTCTATCTGAGCTGCCTTCTCCCCCAGTCTAGGTACTTTTTTTTTGTTATAAACATTTGTGATGTTTTTTCTTAAAGTGCAATAGGAACTTTCCTCACTTATTCAACCAGGTCATATTCAAAGGAAATTCCTTTGAACACTTTAAACTCAAAAGTTATGCTCAAAATAGTATACATCATTTATATGAATTAAAATTCAAGAAG